GCAGGTAGTTGAGATAAAGCATGAGGCCGCATCACCGGTGGAGAAAAAACTATGGAGGTAGTCCTAGACTATAGTTTAGGCAAACAGTAAACAATTCCCTATATCAAGATCCCAAGATGTTGCTGTGTTTGACAAATATATATCTGACAGACTCGGCAACATCTTGGGAATTCAACGCTTGCCTAACCTATGGGCACGACCTACTTCCATTAGTACTGTGTTTCTACCTATGAGACTGCCTGCAGCTACTTCGCCTCACCTTTCTGTATCATGTAATTCCCTTCTTCGCGCATGTATTGTACTTTTATCAAGATTGATGGTCTGAACACACAGACTCTAGGCTGAGAGACTGATTACCTTAAACTCCTCATCTTCCATCGTTCTTCTTTATATTGGACTGAAGCCAATACACAATACACAAATAACCCGCACATAAAAGAGAGAAGCTTACGACGACGTTTCGGTCCGACTTGGACCATTTACAAAGTCACACTAACCAGAAGTTCATTCATTAGAGGTTCGCCGGTACTTCCGGCCCGGGTCTTCTCCATATGGTGACCCGGCTGCTAACCAGAAGTGGAGCAGGACGGCTATATATAGGCAGGAAGAGGTGGTGGTGGTGGTAGTAGTAGTAATAGTAGTAGTAGTAGTAGTAGAGGCAGTAGTAGTGGTAGTAGTGGGGAATAAGGAGGAGGAGCCAGTCAAATACAAAGAAAGGGGAGCACTGCAAGGGAGCTAGGTGCCCACAGAGGGAGAGCAAGTGCGCAGAGGTGGGTGAAAGGGAAAGTGATGAAATAAATAAAGAAGAAACAGAAACACGAGACAGAAGAAAGAAAGACAACCCAGAAGAGAAAAAGGAAAGAGGAAAGGGGAAGAGGGAGAAGAAGAAAAAGAAAAAGAAAAAAATGAGGAGTCAGGTTAAGTCACGGGTGTTCTGAAGTTTGGAGCATTTTACAATGTAGTGGGAGAGGAAGGCATCTACGGAGACGAAGCCAGGGCTAAGATTCATACAAGGAAAGTTGTGTATTAGAGAGGATTCAACTAGACGGCGACTGTTCGAGTTGGAAGTAGGGAAGACAGTTTTAGCAGACCAGTCAATAGGATGGCTATGATATTTGACGTGACAGAAAAGAGCATTGTTAGTGTCGGCAAGCCTAACACTATTTTTGTGCTCCCTAAGTCTGTCAGAAAGAGATCGACCAGTTTCTCCGAAGTATTGAAGAGGACAGGAGGAGCAAGAAATAGAGTAGACACCAGGAACATCTGTAGAGGGAGGAGAGGTATGAACGAGATTAGTGCGAAGAGTGTTAGTCTGGCGGAAGGTAAGCTTGATGTCTAAGGGACGGAGAGAATTGTTGAGATTAGAAAGACCGGAAATGTAGGGAAGGCAGAGGACAGGAGAGTTCCCAGGAGTAGAGAGTTTGGGAGAGAGGAAATTACGTTTGGCACGTGAGAGGGCAGAGTCTATGAAATGGGAAGGGTAGCCAAGACGGGAAAACGAATTATGAAGAGTGGAAATTTCTCCTGGAAGGAACTGAGGATCACAGATGCGGAGGGCACGGAGAAAGAGGGAGATAAGAACAATGGTTGGCGAAACGTCTCCACGAAAAAGATACCCAAATGTTGCACAAGTGTCTCATACAACTTGTCGGTTTTCTAAATAAGAACATAAGAACATAAGAACGAAGGAACACTGCAGAAGGCCTACTGGCCTATGCGAGGCAGGTCCAAGTCCCCTACCGGCTTAAGCCAATGCACCCAACCTAGTCAGGTCAGGTCACATTGACTTAAGGGAGGAACACGGCAACCGACCTGTTAGCACAAGCTATCAGGTCTAACTCACACCCACCCACATCTACTCATGTATTTATCCAACCTATTTTTAAAGCTACACAACGTTCTGGCCTCTATAACGGTACTTGGGAGTTTGTTCCACTCATCCACAACTCTATTACCAAACCAGTACTTTCCTATATCCTTCCTGAATCTGAATTTTTCCAACTTAAAACCATTGCTGCGAGTCCTGTCTAGGCTAGATATTTTCAGCACACTATTTACATCCCCTTTATTTATTCCTGTCTTCCACTTATACACCTCAATCATATCCCCCCTAATTCTACGTCTTTCTAGAGAGTGCAGTTTCAGGGCCCTTAGTCTATCCTCATAGGGAAGGTTTCTGATACATGGGATCATCTTTGTCATCCTCCTTTGTACATTTTCCAGAGAATTTATATCCATTCTATAATACGGTGACCAAAACTGTGCAGCATAATCTAAATGAGGCCTAACCAAGGATGTATAGAGTTGAAGAACAACCTGAGGACTCCTATTATTTATGCTTCTTGATATGAAGCCAAGGATTCTATTAGCTTTATTGCGAACACTTATGCACTGTTGTCTTGGTTTCAGATTACTGCTAACCAGAACTCCTAAATCTTTTTCGCAATCCGTAATATTAAGATCTACATTATTTAGTTTATATGTGGCATGGTTATTGTCCTGTCCAACATTTAGAACTTTGCATTTGTCTATATTAAACTGCATCTGCCACTTCTCCGACCACTGCATCAGTCTATTCAAATCTTCCTGGAGTGCTCGAATGTCCTCGTCAGAATGAATTCGACGGCCTATTTTGGTGTCATCGGCAAACTTGCCGATGTCGCTCTTTATGCCCTCATCTATGTCGTTTATGTAGATTGTCACTGACAATTGTTGACGTTCTCCACAAGGTGACGAAGCTGTACTAGTAATGTCTATCTAGTGTCCAAGTGCCACGATGTCACAAGCAGTTCACCAGCAGATTACTTGGTGCCACCGGGTGCTTGTGGCTTGGCTTGTAGCATCCTCAGCTCACACACTGAGGGTGTGTTAACTGAGGATCTCTCCCGGCACGGGTGAAACGTTGGGCATATTTCCTTACACCCGCTGCCCCTGTTCACCTAGCAGAATGTAGGTACCTAGGTGTTAGAAATGTGTGGTAAGTTGCCCGAAATGCTCTGCATAACCAGAGGCTTTCTATACAGTATGTCATTGATGTCAGCTAGGTCTGTAACAGTCGCATCATGTACTTATAGATATAACGATTATAAAATAATAATAATAACAATAATAATAATAATAATAATAATAATAATAATAATAATAATAATTATTATTATTATTATTATTATTATTATTATTATTATTATTATTATTATTATTATTAAGTGAAGGTTGACCAGGCGGTGATGGCGAGAGGTTGTTCAGACACATTCGGTGTGCCTGGATAGTTTAGTAGACTAGATCGACTTAGATCTTATAGTTAGGTGTATGAAGTCCATATCAAACTGTCTAAGATCAAGTAACGTCTGTCGAACCATTAGATAGCTGCAAAACTCTCGTGTCCATCCATCTCTCTCTGCACGGGGACTTGAAAACAAGAGATTCAAATACATAAAGTTGAAGACCAAGGGATAAAACAACACTAAACACAGTAAGGAAGTCTACGTAGAGCCTCAGAAGAAGGAATTACAAAACCAAAGGACCGCTAATACTTACGTGGACAGCAGGACAGCAGTAGATGAAATGAAGAGACATAAGTCGCTTCTTCTGAAGAAAGAAAAAGTGAGAAAAAGATAAGAGGAAACCACTGAGAGTAAATAGAAAAGACAGGGAACGAAACAGAAAAAAAAAAGAATTTCCTAGTTAGAGGGCGCCACGCAAAACTCTACCAACATTACTTGTGCTGAATGACACACATGGATGGTGGATCAAGTCTCCTTAGAGGAGGATCCTTAATGTAAGTAATAAGAGGGAAGTAACTACTGTTTGTACAGTAGTTACATCCCTGTTATTACTTACATTAAGGATCCTCTAAGAAGGGATGCCAATGAGATGCTCGTGATCCAAGAAACTGAAGCTGCCTTTTAATTTATTAGATCAGACCTACTTGTCCCTCATCCTCAAAGTGCTGCATCGCCCAAACTGGTTTAGCACTTTATTATGAATTTATAACAGCGCCGCGAGGGGCACTTACTGGAAGGAACGTGAAGACTCAACCTCCCGCTAATATCTTCTGCTGCAAGATTAACCTTTTCAGTGAACCATGTTCTGCCATGAGAATGACTTTCTTCTTGTACCATGTTCTACCATGAGAATAACTTGCTCCTTGTGCCATGTTCTGCCATGACAATAACTTGCTCCTTGTACCATGTTCTACCATGAGAATAACTTGCTCCTTGTACCAAGTTCTACCAAGAGAATAACTTGCTCCTTGTACCATGTTCTACCATGAGAATAACTTGCTCCTTGTGCCATGTTCTGCCATGACAATAACTTGCTCCTTGTACCATGTTCTGCCATGAGAATAACTTGCTCCTTGTACCAAGTTCTACCAAGAGAATAACTTGCTCCTTGTACCATGTTCTACCATGAGAATAACTTGCTCCTTGTACTATGTTCTACCATGAGAATAACTTGCTCCTTGTACCATGTTCTACCATGAGAATAACTTGCTCCTTGTACCATGTTCTACCATGAGAATAACTTGCTCCTTGTACTATGTTCTACCATGAGAATAACTTGCTCCTTGTACCATGTTCTACCATGAGAATAACTTGCTCCTTGTACTATGTTCTACCATGAGAATAACTTGCTCCTTGTACCATGTTCTACCATGAGATTAACCTGCTCCATGTACCATGTTCTACCATGAAATTTAACCTGCTCCATGTACTATGTTCTACCATGAGATTAACCTGCTCCATGTACCATGTTTTACCGTAAGATTAACCTGCTCCATGCACCATGTTCTACCATGAGATTCAACCTGCTCATTGTACCGTGTTCTACCATGAGATTAACCGGTCCGGTGAACTATGTTCTACCATGAGATTAACTGGTCCGGTGAACTATGTTCTACCATGAGATTAACTGGTCCGGTGAACTATGTTCTACCATGAGATTAACCTGCTCAATGTACCGTGTTCTACCATGAGATTAATTACTCTGTGCACCTGCAGACTGCTGGGGGTCACCTGACGGCAGAGAGGCGGAAAGGAGAACCTTCTGCAGGAACTTTGATGGCTATGGTGATCTTTGCAACTGTGATCACCCAGCACCACTCACCTACGCACCTAAACAGGTGAATGCTCCATAAATTTCCTCTCTTACCTACCTTAGAAGATGAATGCTAACTGGAAGTTATGGTGATGCTGACAGTACATAGATGGCATTTGTCTAGATCAAAACATATTTTGAGGAATTCTTTTCAATAAAAGTTCACAACTGTGCAGCAGTTAACTGGATGTGCTACATCCAGTTAATTGCTGCCTCTGTTTCATCACTTACACCTCTCTAAAGAGGGTTGTCACTTTATGCCTCTTACGCTTTTTACTGCGTAATGTAAATAAAAGTCTTGGCATATATACACACCCCTCTGAGTTTTCTTCTATTTTCTTACTAATTCTTGTTCTTGTTTATTTCCTCATATCTCCATGGGGAAGTGGAACAGAATTCTTCCTCCATAAGCCATGCGTGTCGTAAGAGGCGACTAAAATGCAGGGAGCAAGGGGCTAGTGACCCCTTCTCCTATGTACATTACTAAAGCTAAAAAGAAAAACTTTTGTTTTTCTTTTTGGGCCACCCTGCTTCAGTGGGATACAGCCAGTTTGTTGAGAGAAGAATATATATATATATATATATATATATATATATATATATATATATATATATATATATATATATATATATATATATATATATATATATATATATATATAAAAGTGTGTGTGTGTGTGTATAAACAATCGCAGACGGGTGATCTTAACTATGCAGGACAAACACAGGGGGGGTGGAAATCTTTAGCTCAAATACTTTCACACTTCTCAGTGCGTCATCAGGAACTGTGCAATGTTGCAAGGGAGCAACCAAGCAGGGAGAGAGGTCTCAGAGTAGCGTAGGTGTCACCGGCCACCGGCCATGGTTATCCTTAGAGCTCCTCACATACTTCTTGGTCATTTCTTGTGAGCTCCCCACCTTCTTTCCTCGGCCTGATTACCTGGTCCTTTATTGCTGTCTTCCTCTTGACGTGACTATACAACAGCATTGGGTCGGACTTGACTTTGAGTGCTATGTTGTTTTCGTACTGTCCCTGGACCTCCCTCCTTATCTGTGCATACTCGTTTTTGGCTCTTCGACTAATCTCTTTATTTTCTTGGGTTTCATTTCTGTGACTGTTATGATGTCTGGGGACGTCTCCTCGATTCTTTCATGCCACTCCTCACATTTATTTGTTATTCCATCTGCGTTCGTATACCAAACCTTCAGCTTTTTTTTCTAAAACTGTGGTCTAGGGAGAATGGTGGGTTGGGGGAGTGGGAGCCCTGGCAGGAACCTATGGAGGCTGCTGTGGAGGTGGGGTTTGTGATGAGAGAGATGGGGGGCAGAGGGTACAGTGTGTGGGCTTTTGTTCAGATTGTTTGGTTGCATTGGGGTTGCCGTGGTTGGAGTCCTGTGGGTTGTTCTGGAGGAGGTTGTGTTTGCTCTTCCACCTGGGTCTGGGTTCTCCTGCTCATCTCCATCATTACCTCTCATTCCTCCTTGCGTCTTTGTACCCTCTCTTTCAGTATCTGCCTTTCTTGTGTTCTGTCTCGGTCGAGGTATGCTCTCTGGTACTCCGGTTTGTCCCTTAATCGTGATTTCTTCTGCAGGATCCTGTTTCGAGCTGATTCTGCCTTGAAAATTACTTTGACTGGTCGTATTTTTCCTATTGCAAACCACCCAATTCTCAGAAAATTTGTCGACTGGGTCATGTTGTCCTCTCCTATTGCTTTCATGATACTTTCAATCGCTCTTGTATCCTCCTGTTTTCTTGCTTCATAAGTTTCCCCTTCAACTTCGGGAAGCCTGTAGACAAAAATTTACCTCTCCTTTTCGTCCTCCCACTGTATTTCTCTTTGCATCCCCTGAGGCAATTTAGTTCCTTCCATTGAAGCGTTCCTTCTTTCAATTTCTTTGCTAGCAGATGTCCCTGTGCTCAGTGGTTTGTCTGTTTTCTTGCTCACCTTTTTCTGTTTGAGCCTCTGCATATTGCTTAGATCCTTCATTGTCTTTAGTCTCCTCGTTTGTTCCTGATGTGCTCCTCGTCTTTTCCCGGGCTCCACATGGGTCTGATAGGGTAAAAGGAAGTGAGGAGAAGGCAAGAGGGGGAGGGAGGAAAAGTGGGAGGAGGAGAGGAGGAGGAGGAGAAGGAAGTTTAAGAGGAAGAGGAAGTGGAAGAGGAAGTGGAAGAGAGAGAGAGAGAGAGAGAGAGAGAGAGAGAGAGAGAGAGAGAGAGAGAGAGAGAGAGAGAGAGAGAGAGAGAGAGAGAGAGAGAGTGAGAGAGTGTGTGTGTGAGAGTGGGAGGAGTGTGGGGGAGTATATGTGGCAGGGGGTGGTTAGGATGTAGATGTGAGGCCTAGTGTGTGTGTGCCTGCGTGCGTGCGTGTGTGTACTCACCTATTTGTGGTTGCAAGGGTTGAGTCATAGCTCCTGGCCCCGCCTCTTTACTGATTGCTACTGGGTCCTCTCTCTCCCTGCTCCATGAGCTTTATCAAATCTCGTCTTAAAACTATGTATGGTTCCCTCATTCACTACGTCAATTTCTAGGCTATTCCACTGCCTGACAACTCTATGACTGAAGAAATACTTCCTAACATCCCTTTGACTCATCTGAGTCTTCAACTTCCAATTGTGACCCCTCGTTTCTGTGTCTCATCTCTGGAACATCCTGTCTTTGCCCACCTTGTCTATTCTGCACAGTATTTTATATGTCCTTCTTTTGTCTCCCCTGATCCTCCTGTCCTCCAGTGTCGTCAGGCCAATTTCCCTTATCCTTTCTTAGTATGATAATCTTTTTAGCTCTGGGACTAGTCGTGTTGCAAACCTTTGCACTTTCTCTAATTTCTTGACGTGCTTGACCAGGTGTGGATTCCAAAATGGTGCTGCATATTCCAGCATGGGCCTGACGTAAATGGTGTACAGAGTTTTGAACGATTCCTTACTGAGGTATCGGAATGCTATCCTTAGGCTTGCTAGACACCCATATGCTGCAGCAGTTATCTGATTGATATGCGCCTCAGGAGATGTGCTCGGTATTATACTCACCCTTGAGTGAGGTTTGCAGTCTTTGCCCACCCAGACTATACTGTGTCTGCGGTCTTCTTTGCCCTTCCCCGATCTTCATGACTTTGCATTTGGCAGGGCTAAATTCAAGGAGCCAATTGCTGGACGAGGCTTGTAGCCTGTCCAGGTCTCTTTATAGTCCTGCGTGATCCTCGACCGATTTAATTCTCCTCATTAACTTCACATCATCTGCAAACAAGGACATTTCGGAGTCTATCCCTTCCGTTATGTCATTTACATATACCAAAAACAGCACAGGTCGAGGGACTGACCACTGTGGAACCTTACTTGTCACAGGCGCCCGCTCTGACACCTTGTCCCGTACCTTGACTCGTTGTTGCCTCCCTGTAATGTATTCTCTGATCCATTGCAGTGCCTTTCCCGTTATGTGTGCCTGATCCTCTAGCTTTTGCAGTAACCTCTTGTGAGGAACTGTGTCGAAGGCCTTCTTGCAGCCCAAGAAAATGCAGTCTATCTCCCCCTCACTTTCTTGTCTTACCTCTGTCAGCTTGTCATAATACTCCATTAGGTTTGTGACACAGGATTTTCTTTCCCTGAAACCGTGCTGGTTGTCGATTCTACCCTTGTTTCTTTCCAGGTGCTCCACCACTCTCCTCCTGATGATGATCTCCATGACTTTGCATACTATACACGTTAGTGACACAGGTCTGTAGTTTAATGCCTCGTGTTTCTCTTTTTCTAAAAATTGGGACTACATTTGCCATCTTCCATACCTCAGGTAGTTGCCCAGTTTCAGTGCATGTGTTGAAGATCTTTGTTAGTGGCACAGACAGCATCTCTGCTCCCTCTATAAGGACCCATGGAGAGATATTGTCTGGTCCCACCGCCTTTGAGGTATCAAGTTCACATAGGAGTTTCTTCACCTCCTCCTCGGTTATGTTTACCTCATCCAACACTTGTTGGTGTACCTCCCTGTTCTGATTTCAAGGAGTCCTACCGGTTTCCACTGTAAATACTTCTTTAAATCTCGTGTTGAGCTCCTCACATACCTCTTGGTCATTTCTTGTGAACTCCCCATCATCCTTCCTCTGTCTGATTACCTGGTCCTTGACTATTGTTTTCCTCATGATGTGGCTATACAACAACTTTGGATCAGACTTGACCTTGCTATGTCATTTTAATATTGTCGCCGAGCCTCCCTCCTAATCTGTGCATATTCGTTTCTGGCTCTTCGACTAATCTCTTTATTTTCCTGGGTCCTTTGTCTTCTGTACCTTTTCCATTCTTTAGTACACCTAGTTTCTGCCTCCCTACACCTCTGGGTGAACCAAGAACTCGTTCTGGTCATCCCACTATTTTTGTTTCCCTTGGAAGCAAACCTCTCCTCTGCCTCCTTGCATTTTGTTGTCACATAATCCATCATTTCTTTTACTGGTTTTCCTGCCAGTTCTCTCTCCCACTGAACGTCTTGCAGGAAGTTCTTTATGCCTGTGTAGTTCCCCCTTTTGCAGTTTGGGTTTTCCCATCTTATTCCTGCTACTGTCTCCACCTGTAGCACAAGTATGTAGTCAAAACACAGAACCACATGATCACAAGCTCCTAGGGGCCTTTCATACATGATATCCTCGATGTCCAAACTACTCAAAGTGAATACAAGGTCCAGTCTTGCTGGATCATCCTCACCTCTCTCTCTCTGGTAGTGTCTCTAACATGTTGATGCATGAGGTTTTCCAGTACCACATCCATCATCTTGGCTCTCCATGTTTTGGGACCCCCATGGAGCTTCAGGTTTTCCCAGTCAATCTCCTTGCGATTGAAATCACCCATAACTAGTAACTTTGCTACCCCTTATGTGAGCTCTTCTGGCCACCTCGGCTAGTGTGTTGACCATTTCTCTGTTGCTCTCATCGTATTCTTCTCTTGGCCTCCTACAGTTCTGTGGTGGGTTGTACATTACTGCAATTACCACCTTATGGCCCTCAGACTGGATTGTTCCTACTAAGTAGTTCCTGTCGCCTA